AATATAGATAAATTTGTTTGTGGGGACGGAGAATAGAAGAATGACAATCACTGAGGATGACCCCAAAAATTTGGGAAGGCTATTTGATGGACTTTTCCAATTGTGTCGTAGTTTTGAAAGTTCTGGCATTAAAATCTTTGAGGTGGATGTCGACCAGATGGAGAGGAACATCACGACAACTACAGAGAAGAGCAAAATCGAATTTGATGAAGGAATGTAATTATGGGTTTGGCGGTGGTCTATTTTAGCCAAAACGACAACGTTTTTGAGGTTCTATACATATGTTTAAATACCTAGCAATTATATATATATATATATATATATATATATATATATATATATATATATTTGTGTTTGGTGACATATCGTTTATACATGTCTCTTGCACTCTAAATTCCATTTTTATCCAAAATAAATTAAGTTTACAATTCCAGACAACGGAGAGAAATCTCCGTCACCATCACTATCTCTGATAATGAACTTGATGAAATATCCACAAACTTTTAAAAAAAAATATAACTCGACAAATATTTAAATTATCATACATACTTATAAAGCTAGCATTTTTTCTTGAATCTCATGCATTTGAAACCCCCTTTTTTAACTTCCTCAAACCACATTCATTTGAAACCCCTTTTTTTAACTAATGCAACTCAAAAGTTTTCTTAATTATTGATTTAACACTCAAAAGTTTTATAACTTATATTATGTTTAATTAGTATTTAGTGAAAATTTTACTATTAAAAGGTCAATCTTTTGTGTCATTTGTGTTATATAAAATCTTACATGTAAGAATGATTTGAAGATATTGTGATTCTGTAACATCCCAAAATTCAAGGCCAAAAATTTCATTTTTAAATCATAACTAAACCATAGTATTAAATCATTTCAAACATACTAAAAGAGTTATATAACAAATCAGAGTATCTTTTCAAAACACTTGTTCATTTCATCAGAGTAAAACATCCCAGGCTGTCTAATCAATGGTGTGTGCCATGCGATCACCCCGAGCTCTTCCCTCCGCTACCGGAAGTACCTGAAACCAAAACTGAAAACCGTAAGCACGAAGCTTAGTGAGTTCCCCAACCTACCACATACCCTGCATAATCACATACTGTAAATATTGGGTCACGCCCGCTACTTTGGGCCTCGCCCGCTACTTTGGGCCTCGCCCACTACCTCGGGCCTCGCCCGCTTCAACGGCCCCGCCGCTCCGGGCCCCGCCTGGCTTCGAGCCCCGCTCGGATACAGATCTGTTTCTCTTAGGCCCCGCCTGTCCCTGGGCCCCGCCCGCTAACATATAGTAACACATAAACATACCACAACACATAACTAAATATATACTACTTAATCCTGTTCTAAGGCTTCGCCTATCTTGGGCCTCGCCCTTGTCCTGCTACTGATGAATCATGGAACCCCGTCCACGCTTCTTCTGATAGTGAGATACGGGCCCAGCCCACACTCACTCCTTTCCTAACTTGGGCCTCGCCCCTGATCTGCTGCTAATGAGATATGGAACACCGTCTATTGGTGATACGGGAACCTCGCCTACACTCACCTCCCTACCAGGCACATACAAGTATCACACAGACAACAAGTATACTCTATCATGCAAACCATTCCTTGGGCACCCGCCCGACATTGGACCTTGGTCCTGATATATGCTAGCAAACAGTGCCTAGGGCTAACCCCCGGGTCTTCCTACTCACAACTACATGGGCCGGCATTGTGGCCGTAGACCCATTCACACAAAGGGAAACTCACCTCAAACTGCTGAAGCTGCTGATAACCCTCTGGCTGCTGTCTGACAACTCTCTGAACCGCTGCTCCTCTAGCTCCCCGAGCTACTATTATCAATATAACACTTAGTTCCAAACTGAACTCTAGAAGTCAAACTAAGTCAACTCTGGTTAAAGTCAAAGTCCTGGTCAAAGTCAACCTTCCAGTTGACTCGACTCGCCGAGTCAACCCGAAGACTCGCCGAGTCCTTAAACTCAGAAGCTCTCAAAATACGACCCAACTCGCTTAGTCACCCCAGGACTCGTCGAGTTCAACGATCTCTGAGTCCCATCCTGTCCAACTCACTGAGTCACCGCTCAACTCGCTGGTCTGCATCTTAACCCGAAGAGGTTGGGGGTTTTACGACCTGACTCGTCGAGTCCAAGAACAGACTCGCCGAGTCCTAGGCAATCTTCAACAGACTCGCCGAGTTGTTCTTCCAACTCGCCGAGCCCATGCACATATTCATACAACTCATCGAGTACACCCATGTGACTCGCCGAGTCTCTCAAGTTCTCAATCCATACAGTGGCTTCAGGGCCGGTCCAAACGATGGGCAACCCGGGCGACCGCCCAGGGCCCACGTCTCCAGGGGGCCCAAAATTTCTGGGCTATGTAGTGTATGTATATAAAAAAATTATTACCTAAGTGATTTTTAGGACTTAAAGTTGGTTCAAACTCAAACTAGCTCAAAAGATAAATAATTTGGTTTGCTTGTTATTGTTAATTGAACGCATTTATAGTGAAGAATAAATGATATTTTTTTTTAATCTTTATTATTTTTGTCTTTAATGGACCCTTTTTTTTCTTTTCGCCCCAGACCCCATATACGTTTGGACCGGCCCTGAGTGGCTTTTCGAGCCATGCAGGGGCTCCAATCCATAGATCCACTCTTCTACAGTCTATCCCCCACATAAAGTTGCAAACTTTACGTGAAACCAAGGGGCTAAAGGCCCAAAACACTCTAGGGGCTAGGGTTTAAGGGCAAAGGGGCTTCACCAACAACTTTTGACATAACTTTTGACCTTCTGGACCATCACAAGTCTAGATCTGAGGTAGCAACCTCAGATCTAGGCCTCTAACTCGACATAGTTCTCAACCATGCCCAAAATGCCCGAAATCTCAAACATAAGATAGATCTATTTGCAATAAAGCCAAAGCAACAGCTTAATACCTCCAATATATGCTCCAACTGAAGTAGATCCCGGATCTACACCACTCCTTTGCAGCAAGCCTCTTGATCTTCAGCCCCTTTCCACCAAACCACTTATTCTAAGCTCCAAAGGCTTCCAAGGACTCTCACTCACGATTTAGGGTTTCTAGATCTCAAGGGGAGTAAAGAGGTTGGGGAAGGGATGTAATGTTCTTTAAATAGGGCACAACCCCCGGGATTAGGGTTTTTCTCGCCCAGATCAGACTCGCCGAGTCCACTAGCCGACTCGGTCACTTACTCTATGCCCCGGATCCCGCTCCGACTCGTCGAGTTCCTCCCTGGACTCGACGAGTTGACTCGTGACTTAGAGCTTTTCCTTTCTTTTCTTGGTCTTTCTGATTATGGGTGTTACAGATTCAAAAGTTTTCATATAGTTGAAGCATTCACGATCCAAATATGATGATTTGAAGAAATGGGTTATGTCGCATCGATGGTAATTGTAATATGATTTTTTCTTTCAACCAAAACAAATGATGCTTTTCTATTCTTTCTTTATATCCAGTTTCTCATTTAATCTTTATATGTGATTTGTGTGTATTACTCAATCTTGAATGTGACTCTCCAAACATCAATGTTTTGCTTGAAATTTCTTTTTCAAGAAAAATATTTTGATTGCAGGTTAGTGAAGAATTGTCATCAAGTTTTTATGTTTGAATAGTGTTAAATGAAGAAAGAAGATTCATAAAATGGATATAGGTTTTTTTGTTTGAGCAAAGTTGATGAATGTTAGTTTTCTCTTTTGATTTAAATGTATGTTTATGTAACATCTTTATTTATATATTCAACCACCCAATGCTCTTATTTATTTGATTGTCGTTTTTCTATTTTGATTATGTTTTATTTTATTATTTTTTTTGTTGGGTTATCCTACACAACATATTTAAAAGACAATATTTAAAAGATAACATAATTTTGAACATTTGATATGTAATTGATTAAGACTATCATGATATGTTCTCATATGAAAGTAATTTATCCATATTACTACGACAAGAATTACATATTACATTTACGAAAATATAATATTATATGTGATTGTTTTAACATGTATATGCACCTATGTATGTTATAAATTTATAATTAAATATCTTATGTTTAATAATTGAAGGATTAAAATGATGCATCAAAACCAATTATTTAGACGAATATAATAATAATAATAATATAATAATAATAATAATAATAATAAATACTACATTTCCAAGTACCGCATTCATTTGAAACTCACACTACAACTCAAGAGTTTCTAATTTATGTATATTTATTAGTTACAACTCAAGAGTTTTAACTTATGATTATTAATTAGTAATCACTAATTTTTATTTTCCTTTCTTTTATAAGGTTGTAAAGTTTTGCTCATTAAAAACATTAATGTATTTGAAGAGATTTGTGATTTAAATATGAAGAGTTAATATAAATGTTATAATAAATGTTTTAGTGTTTTTATGTTATTAAAAGTTATAGTTTTATTTTTCATATTTTTTATTATTCGGTATATATATCTTTTTTATACAAATGTTATATAGATGTTTTTTTCTATTTTTATGTTACTAAAGTTGCAGTTCAGTTATATTTTGTTCATACGTTTTGTTACCTGTTATATTATCATTCATTTGATATATAATTTACACAATTTTAAACGGTTTATAAAATTATCAAATGATTGTATATATCACAATGACTTAAAAATTAAACTATAATGTTTAATAAAACTAATATGTTAACTATATTTTTGCTTTACTACTAACATTTTTTTTCAGAGTAGAAATATTAAATAATAATTTGGTAAAAGTTATTATTTTAACTATATAATTCTATTCTCGCGTAAAACGCGGAGATTCGCCTAGTTTATTTGTATAATGGTGTACATAATGGGGAAATTTATGACACTAACGAGGCTTGGGGGAGAGAGAAGGTGTTTCTTCATTTACAAAAGTTGGGCACAAAAAAGTTTTTGGATATGGTCCTAACAAAGATTGGCTCAGTTAAATGAAGGTTATGTATTACAATGTTTATTGTCATTGTTGGCTGCTTCACTAAAGCTTTATACGTAGCTCTTTCCAAAAAAAAGATACAACTGACTTCATCAGTCTTATCCAACACCCAAAATGTAATTTTTGAATGCAAATCGTTTCTTTGGGCAAAAAGATATAGGAAACGTTAAACATGAACTTTTTTTTTAATGAAATTAAGTTTATATTTTTTAAAAACCTGTAGCCTGATATTGTTGGTTGTGCACATTTTCAGGATGGCAAGGTGGCTCAGCTTGAACATGTCTTCATTCGTGGCAGCAAAGTCAGGTTTGAAATTATTCTTTATTTTTTTCTCTATTTACACCATTCATTGGAAATGTTAAATTTGTTTAATAAATCGTGCAGGTTCATGATCATACCAGACATGCTTAAGAATGCTCCTATGTTCAAGCGTTTAGAAGCTAGAATTAAGGTACATTTTTAATGCTATCAGTGTATGCATGTTTTATATTATTATTTATTTATTTTTAATTAATTTAATTTATATTTTTTTGTGATGAAGGGCAAAGGTTCAGCACTTGATGTTGGTAGGGGTCGTGCACTTGGTATTTATTTTTTAATGCTATCGAGTAAGTATTATGATTAGCTCTCACTCTCACTATATAATAATTTGAAAAATAAGCAAAACACCTATATTCATGAAGCAAATGGTTTTTGTCTTTTTTTCTAAAAAAAATGTATTTAAAGTCGTTGGGAGTAGAGGTGGTGGTGATGGTTATTATATGGTGTTATGCAGGCGCAGGCTGCAGGGCCTCCTGGTGGTGGTAGAGGAAGGTGATCTGATCTGTTTTAGAATTAAAGTAAAATCAAATATTTGTATTATCAATTAAAAAAAGAAACAGATGTTTTGAGTATTCGAGTATGTAAGATTTGAATCGATGTTTAATTTAGTTTCCATAACTTGGTTCAAGAGTTCAATCCAACCATGTGGAAGATTTTCATCATCAACAGCAAAAAAAAAAAAAAAAAAAAACAGTTTTTTTATGAATATAAAGCTATTAAGTTTGGGCTAAAATAAGAAGAGATTAGGAATGTAATTTTCAACCATGGATTAGATGAATATTGTTAAAACTTGAACGTAATAAACTTTTGTTTTTTGGACTATGAAGATAAAATGGTTATTTAGTTCACTAAATCACCCAACAAGACCTTGTGTATAAAAAACTTTATCCAGATAAACATTTACTCATTCAATCACTTTACCCCTACAGAACTTAACAACAACAACAACAACAAAAATGAAAAAAGAAACAACCCCTTTCTAGATCAACAAAAACAAAACAAACAAAAATCCATAGCATCACTTTAACTGTCACAATTAACTAAGAAGTAACAAACACAAGAATCATTTTCAAAAAACAGAACACAGTGATTAAATCAGATAAATACTAACATCATAACTTTTCGTTCCAAAAAACATAAAATCTTGAATTCATTTCACCTTGTAAAAAAACAAAGCTTCAAGCAATATGTTGTGCAAGACTCAATATCTTAACATGCTTTTTCTTCCTCAACTCATGTGGGACAGGTCCAAAGACACGTGTCCCAATAGGCTCACCTTGTTTATTCACAAGCACAACAGCATTATCATCAAACTTCACTTCACTTCCATCACACCTCCCCTTTTGCATAGCTGCCCTAACAACCACACCATAAACAACCTGCCCTTTCTTCACTTTCCCCCCTGGTTGTGCTTCCTTCACTGATGCAACTATCGTGTCCCCTAATCTTGCCCCTTTCTTCCCCTTTAAAGCCTGTATGCACATTACCCGTTTTGCCCCTGAGTTGTCTACAACTTTCAGATTCGTCCTCATCTGTATGAATCTCCTTATTTGCTGTTCCAAAGTACAAAAAGATTCAAGATTTTGTAAAAGAATCAAACTTTATACATTAAAGAACAGACCTGAGTTAAGAGATTGTTGCAGGTGGCTTCTTGTGATAATGATAATGATGATCTTTGGATACTGGAAGACAACAAAGAATGACCCACTATACAAAATAGGTCAGAAAGAATCATGAAATGGAAAACTTTGTTAAGAGAAAGGATTCAAAACTTACCACGAAAACATTTCGAAACAGAACTTGCTGCCATTTTTCAGCTACCTGTTAATGTCAGATGAAACTTTGGGTGTTAGTTTCATGTCGAGACATTTCATCAAACACCTCATGGGCATAACTTTGTTAGCTAATGTTGATCCTTCCTAGGGATTTTCACAAGACAAATATACTAATATATATAACTGTTTCAAACAAATTCACAATGTAGAAATCCAAAAACTCCAAATCGATTGAAGTTGAGTTAACGAGTTGTGCTCCATTTGATCTCACACCATTATATCAAATTAAAAACGGATATCAATTAACAGAAAACTATCAAAACGATATATCTGTAGTGGGAAATAAGTAAAAGTGATAAACAAATACTGTGTAAAAGAGAAATCGCCCAGGGATCATCCGGTAAGCTAGCTGACGTTATAGAACAGCCTACTAAGGTGTCGCCGCTAAGTTGTTCAACACTTAACATTGAGGTTCAAACATGAAATGGTTCATGGCACGAAATTCACAAATTCATGACTTCAAACAAGTGACAAAAATTAACACTGAGAGCCTATATACACTGATCCAAACAAGTAATTAACATATAATACACCATAACACTAATCCAACAAGTAATTTAGGGTTTACAAAATAAAAAAGCAAAATTAGGTTAAACTTACTTAAGTTAGAGAGGTGAGTATGGAAGAAGCCGAGACAGAGCTTCGTGTTCTGGTCTAGTGTTCGTGAGGCGATTGTTCTTGATATTTGTTGGGCCCAAAATTATTCATCTATATAAAACTTTTAGAAGCTAGCCCAAGTTCTATATATTAAAAACCGATTTAACATAACCCAAAAACCCCATTCACTCACTCATTGAGGGCCTTTGGTGCCATAATTGGATTTTAACAGACTTCAAGCGGATTTTAATGGCATGTGTGATTTGTGAATTGTTTGGTATTACGTGAGTGAAGGGTATATACTATATAATAACATTTATTTTAATCGATTAGTTTTTCTAATTTAATAGATAAAATTAGATACTTGTCTATTTGATTTGTTAAATTATACCGATTCAGTACAACTATCAAATTGTTTGTGTTTGGTCCTTTTTGGGTTTAATGACTTTTTTTTTTT